CATGTGTGTGTAGTTTCCTTCTATGCTGGCAGCTCGATGGTGGGTTTGGGATATCTCTTAGCTAGGTTCTCCCGACTAGAACACTTTTTGTCGTTATTTATGTATTTGTGTACTTTTTTAAACTATGTATAGTTGTATGTATATAAACATATATATATATATATAATATGTGCGTATATTGCCATATATAAGGTCCGCTGGCAGCCGTTGGAGTTGTGGACATCCTGTTGGCTGGTGGATCATTTGGCTTGTTGATTTGTTGCCCCGTAATAAATCAAGGGCATAAACGGCTTATGGCCGAACATAGCTCAAATCTGCACAACTGCACTCCGGACTGTGCGCTGACAGGGTGTGGAAAATAACTATGAAAAATTTATGTTTGTGTGTATGCGTGTGCATGTGTGTGTGTGTGTGTAGCTGTGCAGGTATGTGTGTGAATTGGCAAATAATGCGCCGTTAGCCAACGAAGTTTACGCTCAATTTAAATTTACAAAATATTGCACAATAAAAGCCAACCTCGAAACGCATAAATAAATTGCGCGCAACCAAATATTTATATATGCATGAACAATTTATGAATTTAACTTTTAACATTTATTTAAATTGTTCGAGCACTTTGCCGTAAACTTTTGAAAAACATATTGTAATCAGTTATTTAACCGTGCGATAAACATTTTATAGTCCTATATTTGTAAGCAATAAGCATTTCATGCTTTTCAAAGCTTTCCTTTTCTTTGCTCTCTAAACTTCTATCAGAGTTCAATGCTGGGAAATCCTTCACAGACCATTGTCTGTTAAATGTTAAATTCTAATATAATACAGCTTCCATAAAGGATTATTTTACTTGAGAGTCGAGAGAGAAAACAGCTAAGGAACAAGAACATTATATAGACTAGCTTTAAGAACTGCGCTTTCGGGCCAATGTCAGCGTAATGCCAATTGAAATAATGTTTGGCGAGCATAATTAAATCTTTTATATGTTATAGTTACCTGAATGCACCTTTAATATAACTTCACAATACTCAACTGCGCGCATTTAAGCCATCGAGCAGAAAATACTGATAAGCTCGTTTAAGTATTGGCTGTCGGGAAGTCGGGAATATAATTGGTTCAATTGAAAATTTTAAGGTTTCAACTTCTTTCTACGGTCCACTTCGCTTAAAAAAAAGTCATTTTACGCATAACGAAGACTGAATACCCTTGCCGCCGACCTTTGGTAATTTACAATATAATATTTTGAAATGTCCTTCAATACTATTTACCATCTTAGTCGCGTTACACAACACTTAAAAGGCGCATTTGTATTTCTGTTTGGTATTTGTACAAAGTATTTATTTAAGTATTCAGTATTAAGCTTAAGTATTAAATATATTTTCAAATTTTTTAATTTAAGTAACACAATTCGCCTCTATGATTGCCCGTTCTTCTGAAAATATGCCAAGACGTATATATTTTCATATTGAACTTGCGGGCTAGATTTGATCTCTATCCGAAATTGGAATCTACCAAGTATGGTTAGCTAATTCCAATGGCTGGGGCATTCTTCAGATAAATGTACATTGTAATTATTTGTTTTTTATTATTATCTCTTTTATCATTATTCTATGGATGCTAGCTTGTGCGTGTGCTTGCAAAAATTTAAAATTTCTGGCCGAAGTTCGATGTGGAGTTCCGGTTTTAGGACACAGGCTTTTACGGAAAAGCCCGTCCACATACTGCACGGTAATGTGGAAAACGGTTCGACGTTGGCAAACCGCAGACCCAATGTGGGAAAAGACCGCAGACGAACAAGTACCTCCCCAGAGCCGTCATTGCACTGGCAATTCAATTGACACAGCTTGGCGTATGCGAGGGTCGCCATTGATATTCTGGACCGTGGCATCAGATGCTGTTTGGCATTTCCAATGAAAGACATTTTTCTAAAACCAATTGATTACAAATATTATAAGTTGTAAGAAACATGGCGTGCCAAGGTATAAACCGAAACATAGTCTAACAGCAAGCCCACAAAATAAGAAAATTGTATTTATTGGGCGTGGAGTCTGGATTCAAATGCATGCAAAAGGGATGTAAAGAAAATATCGATCTTTGTGTAAAATTATAGCTACCGTCAATGATATGTTGAGGTAATTTTTTCGTTACCAAGCGCTCAAGTAAAAAAGGCAGCCCTCGTTGGCATTCCGTTTGGCCCTCATGCGAGACAAATTGCTCACGCTTCGCATCATTTCATTTTCGAGCCGTTGATGGATTTGTCACTTTATGGTACTTGGAAGCAATACTTTTTTCTTACACATAGATTTAATGTAAGCGCCGCCGACTGTAGTCGCAATCGCAGTAAGCCGCGGGTATAATGGTGCCTGATCCTGAATCGCGCAAAACTGTGCATTTCGTGGGATAATATGCCCAGATATTGGAGCTGAATTACTTGGAAAGGTATTATGGACTTCTGCAAAGCAAAATCGTAGTGAAAGTAAAATAGATATTTTCGTTTGAAGGTTTTGAAATTTTTATTTGTTTATCTATAAATACATTTATTAACTTGTATTCTTCTACATTCAAAAATATTTCCTTTAAATCAATACAATATTAGTCTGTCATTAGACATTAGAGTGAAAGCTCCTTAAAGTTACTTAATAATTATTAGAATTTATTTTCAAAAACTATGAAATTAATTACAAGTAATATGATAAAAAAAAAGTATGACTCAAGCTAAAACTAAATATTTTTGAATCATATAAATATATAGAATAAAAGTTAATTAGTTATAAAATAAATTAATAGCAGCGCAAAACTATAATTAATTAAATAAAATACACTCGATGTTTACAATATAATCGAATATGAATAGGTTTTAAGTAAACATTAATTGCCTCCATTAATATTCGCAACTGCATTTCGTTTATGCAGTACATAAGTATTCCTCGCTGCAACCAAAGGTCGCAATCGAACTAAGATACCCATTAGTATTGTGCCATACAGAGCACTTAAAAGCCACCAACTGCACACGTCCAAAATGCACAAGAGGAGTAAATGATTTGGGGGTGGCATAGACGCAACCCCATGTAGCCGGCCTCCTGGTGAATGATGGTGCATTGCATGTGACAGCTACGGCTTCTAACTGGGCACGGCTCGCTGGCAGTCAGTCATTCAGTCAGTCATTCAGTCAGTCAGTCAGTCATTCTGCCAGTCCACTGTCAACTAACTGCACTAAACTGTGCTCGACTCCCATTAGACTCTGAAGTGATGACAGGCAGGCCTTGACTGCAGCTCTGATTCCGCCATCCGCCTGCGACTTGTCCCTCTGCTGGACATGCAGCAAAATATGATTGGCCTGCTGTGCATTGCACTTCATGTGATCTGACCACTGGCTTGTTGTAAAATGCGCTGAACTGGCCATTTAAGCCCTTTATCTGTCGCTTTCAGTATTAATTAAATGCTTACAAAACCAAACAGGACATGAAACAGGACACAGACAAGCTGACAACAACAACAACTCAACAATCGCAAATACCCGTTGAACTTTTACATTGCCTCAACTCACTTTGCGCGTCGACTGCATCCATTCATTTGGTTTATTTGCGGCCAATTATATAGCTAATTTTCACTTGTTTACTGCGAAACTTTTGAAACTGCAAATAGTTAAAATGTATAGTTAGTGTAATTAAAACAGGGCGGAATTTTTATACCATAAAGAGGGCATAGTCTGTGCAAAAGCGTATAATAACAGGCAGCATAGAGGAAAGCATCTCCGAACCCATAAAGTATATATATATTCTTGATCGGCATCAATAGCCGAGTCGATCTAGCCATATATACCTGTCCGTACGACTTGACTTAGTAACTTTATCCTTTGCACTTCGATTGGCATCTTTAAGAAAATTTATTTGAGTCGTGTTTCAAACATTTCGCAAGCTCCACCATTTCAGTATGGAAAATGGCGCTCAAAGGTCTTCTATCCGATCGGATTTTATATTAGTTTCGAGAATTTGTGCAAGCAACAATTTAGCATACGTTTAACCGATATTGGAAATACGGGGTCTTAAGTTGTGTGGGTGCAGGTAAAGGGTTAAGTTTGGTCCTTAAACATTATTTCACTGAAAAGTGGGTATTTAGGCGGTATAATGGCATCTGACCACAAAACCTAGAGCTCGAGAATGAAATATCGAAAATCCTACATCATAAACAGAAGAAGCTTTGTCGACTAATATTTGTATCCTTCTTTATAGTACATTTTTTTAAATTCCATTTTTCTATAATAATTTGTACAGTTTCTAGGATGTATTACTTTATTCTGGCAGGCTTTCTTTTCGAAACATTTTAAAATGATGTTTTGCTTGAATTGAGCACGGAAATATCCGGCAAGGGTATAAAAGGGACAGGACGCGAAAAGACAAAACGAATGCTTATATTTCGGTATGGGGCCAGTTCCTTATTTTTTTCTTTTTTGGTGTGAGGTTGGAAGGGGGGTGGGTGTGGCACGTGGGCGTGTGACAGGCAGATACAACCATTTCAGCTTTACAATCTCTTCAAATTAAATCGACCTACGTCAGAATTGAGGGAGCTTTGACAACTGTTTCGGAGCTGGGGGAAGGTGGAGGTCTGACGACTGTCCCTCACATGTCTTTATTTTTATTATTTTTTTTTTTTTGGTGTCCTGCCTAGCGCACGGACTCATTCTTTATAGTTTCATTTTCCAACCACTTGGGTCTTGCTGTCAAAAGGATTAGCTGCCTATTCTTTTCATTTTATTTCATTTCATTGCCTCGCTGCCACTTGACTTGGCTTGAAAAGGCAACCTTGTTGGAGAAATGTAAAGTTGTGCGTGTATGCGTGCGTTTGTGAATATGGTTTTTCCCTTTGTTTTCCATTTTTGTCTGTCAACACTTGGCGACTTTGTCGTTGGATTTTGGGCACCCCTCGCCGACTTTGATTAAATAGAGCTGAAGACCCTGTGCGTCTGTCTGAGAGTCGACAACCCTAGCAAGCTGTCAATTGCCAGATGAGGACAAAAAAAACACACACACTCAAATAGTCAGTAAGATTTATTTGCCTGAAGTTGAAGCACAGGGCATCAGTTCGAAAACTGTTCCAACAAATTGCCAACAAAATTTCGATTTGCTAGTACGAAAGTAAAAAGTGAACCCACAGGTAAGCAGTCGAAACATCTCACAGCTCACAGCTCACACCTCACATATGTCTGCGATCTTGCATTGTGCAGTGCTTCCATCATGAACTCGCTGCGTTGCGCTGGCTTGCGTGTGTCTGGAGCAGCTGCAGCTGCTGCCTGCCGTCCAAGTGCAGGCCGGATGACGATGTTGCCGGCTGTGATGCGCCGGCTCACCCATCATGATGGAACCCGTTGTATGAGCGGCGAACGCGAATACGTTGGCTATGGCGTCAATGGCAATCCCATTTATATTGATTGCGCCGATTTCCCGTTTCCGGCCATACGGTATCGCGAGGTGACGCCGGAGATATGTGCGCTGCGCGAAAAGGAGCTGAGCGACTGGAAGAAGCTGTCGTTGCAGGAGAAGAAGGCATTATATCGCCATAGCTTCTGTCAGACCTATTCGGAATTTCAACATTTTACTCCCGAATGGAAGCTAGTTGTTGGCATCGGTCTATGGTCAATTGCCCTTAGCATTCTGCTGACCCTTGCGGTGAACCTTATCTACGATGAACTCCCAGAAACCTTTGATGAGGAGCGCCGTCAGGCGCAACTGCGTCGCATAATTGGCTTGCAAATGCAGCCAATAACGGGCCTGTCCTCCAAGTGGGACTACAGCCAGAACAAATGGAAGTAGTGTTATGTTTGCCCCAATTGTTCGCCATACATTTGAATGAAATGCTGCTGCACAGTAACATTACCTACCTTACACCCAGCCACCCACACCCACCCACAACCACCCACACCCACCCACATTAATAACATGTTGAGCTTCGTACAAAAATTGTCAATCGTTTTTTAAGCTTGCATTAAATTTCATGCCATATTCATGACGAACATTACATATTATTTGTGCTTTAATATTTATAGTTTATAGTTTATTTTATATCCAGGCACTTGGTAAGTTCTTAAAGCAATTCGTGAACAACTTTTTATCAGCTTCCTTTACAGATGCTGATCGTATTTGCTTAGCTTTGGGCCAAGATGCAGCCGAATTCATAACGGGGACTTCTTGGCTGGAATGCAGCCCATATTTGAAGGTAACCCAGCCGCAATATCATAAGTAAGAGGTAAGGGCCAAGCAGCTATCCTTCCATTGGCAAAGGTTAATTACCCATCATCCAGTCACTATATAAGTAGTTTTGCTTTCTGAAAACCCTGTTCGTATTTAAACAAGTCAAAGTCTTATGGGTCTTATGGGCTTGAGGCAATGTTTCTAAAGTCATCTCTCCTCTCTCTTTAATTATGGCCTTGATGGTATTATAATTTTGTCATGAAAAGTAGGAGACATGTCCGCCCCATAAAGTATATATATTATAGATCAGATTAATATAGCCATGCTCGTCTGTTCATCTACTATTGCAGGCAGTACATATGTCGGAGCTGGCCGGATCGTATCACTATATCATAGAGCTGCCATAGAAACGATCGATCGAAGCTAAGTACAACTTTTTTATTTTCCAAGATATCTTGACCAAACTCTGCATCTATAAGTATAGGTATAAGTATTTACATGGCAATATCTTCTGCTTGCCAAGATATTTCTATTAAACTCACCATTAATGGGTTATCACATGGCTGAGCTCAGGTGTTGCTACAAGCTTGTCTTATTTTGCATACCTTTTAATAAAATGATTTATTTGTTATTTACAATTGCCCGTTCTACTGAATATATTGCCTATGATAAGTATATTCATATAGAACCAGCGGGCTACATTCTTTTTTCTCTTTGTGCTTGCAGGAAGGATCATGCCTGCTCTAAGATCCTTTAAGCCTGATATACTTACTACCTGTGCCCAGTTGTCCTGAATGTGCTTTATATTCATATCAGCTTATTATCTGAGCATTTTCGCACTTTTATGATGAGCCAACCCAGTTCCAAAGTAAAATACATGCCATGAGATAAGCTAGAAATGCGCTTTATTTCAAACTTGCAATCCTGAACATATATATATATATATATATAATATATATATTTATTTATGCACATATCCATTTTTGAATTTCATCTGTTTGCAAATGAAACAGCTATCGTGTGTCCAACACAACTGTTGTCAATATTGTTTGTCGTTTTGATTGTGGTGTGGCGTGGGAGTGTGCGTTATATTGGTTGTCGACTGTACGGTGTGCCAATACGTATATGAATGTACACTGCGCGGTGCACAAGTCAAAGGTGGTTTCATTCACAATATGGCTGAATATCCAGTGCGCGCTGATGTTAAGGATCTGCAATATCTGCTGTCACATGGATGTGCCATGTGCATATAATATCTCTTAGGTTTACATCAATACATCAATTTACTATATCACGTTTGCATGTAAATACATAGTTCTATATATGTATGTATATCATTGTTTGTTTATGTTTATGCGCATTTTGATAAGATCGCGATTTGCAGATCTTTTGCTTTGTATGGATAAGACATAGAATGCTTCTTATAGACATAAGTACAATATATAATCATGTATTTTATGTTTGCACAAATCAAACGGGATGAAAATAATCTCTAATACGATAAAGTATGTATGTATATATATATATATATATATATATATATATTCTTGATCAAAATTCAGCCTAATTGATGCAACTCCAATTACATTTAAATGAAGCAGTTTTTTTGTTTTTTAATTTCGATTGTTTCTTTGCTTAAAAATAATAATCTAAAGACATTTATATAAAATACACTTCAAATATTTATGTAGATTTTAAATTTTGTAAACAATTTCAATTGTTAAACAGGAGATCAAATGATGATTGCCAAATGATTGAATATTGAACTTGGGGGTTTTTTCTTTGTTTTTGTTAGCTCAGTTTTGGAATGCCCAATGAAAATATGATTTCCACATAAATAATATTTAATTTACCGAATTTTGGAAAATTTCTCTTCTGATTTCTTTGTTACAGTTTTTAAGCATTAAGTACTGCAAACTGGCGGCATAATTAAAACAATTAACCAAAAATTATTGAATTTTATTTTGAGGCAAAATTTTTGAAGAAATTTCAATTTATTGTATGATTTTTACTTATCAGCGCTTGTATGCTCGATATTCGTTTTTATATTTATTTATTCCATTTTTATTTTCTTTTTAGTTAATGCTACCACAAAATATATTCCCATATGCATACATATATTTATATATATATATATATATATGGTATATGTACATACATATATATAATTAAGTTTTGCACGTTAGGTTACTATAAAAAAATATATTTCAATTTATTATTTTCACTTAACGGCTACTTTTGTTGAGTACATTCAGATTTGCTTCCCGAATATGAACTAATTTATCTCACTGTTGCGGTCGCTTAGCAAACTTCGCTTTGAGAGAGTTTGAGTCAAAATTGAGTGAAGTTTGAGCTGCGTCAGCAATTATGCGTGGGATAGTACTCTGATGGGAACATTGACAGTGGCGTGATATTTAGGGTGAATTGTTTATGTCTACCAAAGGGGGACAGTTTGATCTTGACCAATGTCGATGTTATCACCAGGCTCTTTGTTTACAATATTAGAAATGTTTATAGTTGTGCTTATGCTTATGTGCTAAGTTATGTTAAAGGGTGGGTGCGACTATGGATATGTCACTCCCCCAACCATTAGAAAAGTGCCTGTCCTCAGGTGTTTAAGTTTGGATATAGTGTAACATTTTCTTCTTTTAGAATTGGTATATCTCCTATTATTGTAGGTGTTTCTTCTACTTTGGGTTTTTTATATTTTATAATTAATTTCTTAGGTATGCTTTTGAACTTATATGTCAAATACAGTGTTAAACTTATTAATATGATTACAAATATGGTTATTGTAATTATCTGGAATACATTGTTAAATTTTGTATGTGCATTTATAATTTGTTTCGTTTGTACAAACGAAAGTGGTTCTAATTTTATAACATCATTGCTTACGTAAATGCTTTGAGTATAATCTAACATATTGTTTGAAATTGAAATTTCATTAATTTGCAATGAACAATTAAAGATTTTTATTATATTGTTTCCTTCTATTGTTATTTCGTTATTTATACAATTATGGTTTAATATAGTTTTTGGTAAATTCCAAGTTAAAATTATATTTGGTTCTATGTAGTTGATTTGAAAATTTTGCAAAATTTTAGTATAACTACATTCTGATGTTATTTGGTTTAAAATTCCTGTTAAACATTCATTATTAATTAATTTTTTTGTTTCTCTGCTATAAACTTTTTTATCTTGGGTAAAATATTTTTTATGAGCTATTTCTGTCAAAATATTATTATTTTCATCCGGGTATGGAATTATTTCGAATACCGGGCTTTTTATTATTTCTCGAGGAATATGGGATATTATCAGTATTTCGTTTGTATCTGATTTAAACCAAGTGGAAGTTTTTGTATTCAACAATTTCTCAGAATTAACATGCAACAAATAGTCATGTTTTAGTAATTTTGGGTTAAAAATTCCTAATCTTGTGAGCTGCATTCCCATCTCAATGTCTTCTATATATTCTGTAAAGTGTTGTAAGTTAAATATAAGGATATCTAATTTCTTTCCTTTTTGTTTCTCTTGATCTAGTTCGTTCATGATTTCTATTCCTTTGTTTATAGCTTCTATTATGTAATTTAATTCGTTAACCTGAACGCTGTTTTCTGCTAAGTTGCTTATTTTTTGTTCAATTTCTGCTTTGTCTTCTTGATTTAATGTTCCAAATAAGTATTTATATGCTGTTCCTACTATGTTAACTAAACCTCTTTTGCTACGTTTGGCTATTTTTAAGCCGTTTATTTCTCTGTTTAATTTCTCTACTAGGTATTCGATTTGTATAAGGTTATTGAATTCTTTACTTTGTTCAATTAAATTGTTAAAAGTTTCTTCGGTTTTTGTTATATTAACCGTTAAACAGTGGAATTCGTAATCTGTCGGAATGTCTATGGTTCCTGTTTTAAATATGAGATATCCGTTATGGGCTTTGATAGGATTAATTTCAATACTCTGTGCATTTATATGGTTTACAGTTATTGATAGTAATATTATAATAATTAATTTAAGCTGGTGCTTGTATGTTTTGATCGCTGTCTGTTGTTGACCTGTAATTGTTATATTTGCTTTGATTAGTCTTCTTTTTCTTTTTGAATTTGGTTTTGTAATGTGTTATTTTCCTGCCTCTGTTAGTTTCCTCAAAATGTTTGTCGTCGATTTGTCTTAGTTCTCCTGTTTTCTTGAACGGGGTTGTCGTCTTTGATTTAACTAACGGTGAGTGTTTGTATCTAGTGTCAATTTCATAATTTGTTCGTTTTTTGTTGAGGTTATTTATTAGTTTTTCTTTATTAGCTTGAGTGTCATACTCTGGTGTACCTGCATATATGAATATGTCCGCTGGTGTTCTGTTAGTCGTTTTGTGCTTTGTTTTATGATTGTACGTGTAGAGTATAGTTTCAAATTTTGTAAGTTTATTTTCGACGTCTGAGTCGCTGTTAATGATTCTTAGTTTTTCGTTAACTGTCTTATGAAATCGTTCTACGTCGGATATACCATTTTTACTAGTGGTTATATTAATATTTACTGCTTCTGATTTTAGCCATAATTGTAAAGCTGTGCACATAAAAGCTGAGTCTTTGTCTGCCTTTATTTCGATGGGTTTACCCATTTGGTTGAACACTTGTAATATAGCTCGTTTGGTTTCTAGCCAGTCTCTACTTTTTATTTCTATTAATGATGCAAATTTTGAATAGATATCAATGCAAGATAAAAATTGTTTATCTCCTACTATGTAAAAATCCATTACATATTTTTCTCGGATATTAGCGATTTCCGGAGTTATTTCGAAAGTTAATTTTGTATCTCTGTGTTCTGTTTTTGCGATG